ACAAGTATAGCGCAAATTATGCGGATTTGGCTCGGCCATGGTCTAATCTTCATAGAAAGGATACAGAATGGTGTTGGAACACCGAGCATCGAGAGGCTTTTGACAGGATCAAACCACAGCCTCCTTCACTTCATGCACCAATACTGGCGTTGCCAAACATCGACCATCCTATAAGTGTCCTCAGTGACGCTTCGAACTTTGCCCTTGGTTGTGCACGGCTACAAGCAGACACCGAGGGGTGAGATCAGGTGATCGCGTTCGAATTCCGCCAGAAAAAGGCTGCGGAAATTAACTTCCCAATTCACGACAAGATATTTCTTGCGATGAAATATGCAATTGTAAAGTTCAGGGTGCGCCTGCTTGGCTTAAAGCCGTTTGTGATCTACACAGATCATGCGTCATTAAGCAATTTGACTCAGTAGCCTCACCGCTAGCAGAAGATAGCCAGGTGGCTCTCCTTCTTTGCTGAATATAACTTTGAGGTGAGGTATAAGCCAGAAAAGCAGAATGCTTTGGTTGATGCGTTGACACACAGACCAGATATGAGCTTGCTCCTTTCACGACGGTGACGTCGTCAGTGATGGATTGACCCGCGCCGCATACGCTGGCGATGATATATGTGTAGCGCTGCTACAGGTTTTCGGGGGCAAGGAGTTTGGAAACTCGGACAAGAAATTGTCGGCGCGTTTGCGCGCACGGTTACACCAATATTCGTTGAATAACGGATTGCTGTATTCTAACACCGATTCAACGAATACGCCACGAGTCGTGGTTCCTCACGATAATGAATTGAAATATTGTAACCTCTACGAGACGACACCCCACCTAGTGGCCATCTCGGTCGTGAGTAGACGTACAGCTCGGTGAGTTTCCACTATTTATAGCCCAGGCTGTTCAAACGGACAGGCTCCTTTGTGCGCATGTGGAGACGCGTCAGAGGGTATAACCCTATCCGAATGCGGCGACGCCGGTGGCCAGTTTACCAGTACTTTCATGGTTTTGCAGCCCATGGGTATGGTATTTGTGTTTGGTCCACCGAGAAATTCGGTAGGCAACACGGGTGTAGTGGTATTTGTGGACCGTGTGAGTAAGATAGATCGGGTTGCGGCAGTGCCGGACGCCATTGACGGTATGGGTACAGCGACGCTGTTTGTCGGTCGTGTCTTTCGACAGCATGGACTTCCGGAGTCAATTGTGTCTGAAAGAGACCGGCGCTTCGCTGGTAAATTTGGTCTACAATCTTCAGGGTGCTGGGACTATGTCAACAGCGGGCTAGTCGCAGACCGATGGTCGGACTGAGCGCGTGAATCGCGTCGTCGAGGACGTTCTTCGCAGCGCCTGCGCTGAGAAGCCGAAGCGCTGCGGCGCTATTTTGCCACTCGTAGAGTTTGATCTGAACAACACAGTGCATTCATCTACTGGCTATAAGCCGCTCTACGTAATCGGGCTCATTAATCCTCGCGTCCCGCTGACGCCGCCATCCCATGGTCCAGGGCTTGGTGGGGGAGGAATTGCTAAACGGCTTGCTGATGTCAGCCCCCTCATCGTGCGTGTAGAAGTCGCAGACTTCCTGTCTACTATAATGTGTGTCTTACGTCACGTTCTTGATGCGATGGCTGAAAGTCATAACATGCAGAAGGAATATGCAGATGGAATATGCAGATGGAAAAGGAAGAAGAAAAGCTGAAAGCATTGAGGTCGGAGACCTGTTTTTATTAAACGTTTTAAGTCTTCCTACACACGCAGTTTTGCTGTCTTTGAGCTGAAGCTCCGTCCACAGTTTATTGTACCGTTTAAGGTCGTGGTCAAGCGAGGCCTAGCGTATACGCTGAAACTTCCGAGAAGGATGCGCACCCACCCGGTGGTTTATGTGGGCTTGCTGAAGCCGTGCTGGGATCCGGATCAAGTGAACATGAGCGATTTGGCGCCGGGGCGGCGCCCAAAGGCGCTCGGCCACCCAGAAGTTGAGTTAGCACCTCGTTTTGAGCACGGAGTGTAACAACTTCCGTTTCAACGGCGTGAGGCGCTCCACCGTCACACGAAGTGATGTTCGTCTGCTCGACGGCTAGGAGCCGCTCCGGCAGAGCACGACAATCCTCAACGCGAGGAAGTCGGTGCACAAAGTGCTCCAGGCTCTCGAGCTCTTCCGCACAGCTGTAGATGACCTCGAAGATATGCTCGGCAGAGTGCCGATGACGACGGATTTTTCCTTATTAGCTCGAAGAGCATCGCGAGTCACCGGACGGCGATCGACCAAGTCGTCATCAACCACCGCTGACTCTTCTCGATGAGAATGGCGGCTTCGACTTCCACGTGGTACGCCTTGTGGGTCGAAGGCATCGACGGGGTTTAACCCAGAATCTTGAGAAATGGTGGGGATACCCAAACTCCGAGAACTCGCGGGAGTATGAGGGGCCACTTCGGCGAGATTGCCCAAAAGTCGCAGACGCAAGGATCATGACGCTTCGCGTCGTCTTGCACACCGCGCTACTCGAAATAAGCCCGGGAATCCAGAGGGCCATGGGCTGAGCTCAAACTATGACTCTGAGCTGCTGTGGTCGTAGACTCATCCGTGTGGGAAACCACAGAGCTTGCAGGAGCCTTATGTATAGTTCCAAATGTCGCAGGACGACAATACGCAGGTAATCGGAAGTTTGGCAAACTCAAATCTAAGATAGCATCTAACACGCACGTCCACTTCCTTGTGGTTTCGCTGTAAGTTAAACAGCGAAGAAAGTTCCCGGTGCCACTGCACCTATCGCTCAAGGAGCTCAACATCATCTGCAGCGGTTTCGCCAGGGGCGAGCACTACAGGGATGGCGGCATTGCGGATACAGGAGCGTTACCTTTTTAAGCTCGAAGTCGAGCGCGGTATAAATCCATTGGGATTGCCAAAAGCGAGCTCGCAGAGCTTTCCGCTGATCAAGGTCAGCTTGTGTAGTGGGCGGGTGGTTGACTACGTAAACGCCTAACGATCGAGTGATCGCGTCTTTCGCTCCAGCAGCTGGATCTGCCGAACAAACTCCGTCGTCCGAGGCGGGCGCGGTGTGTTGCGCTCGGCTACCGAGAACTTCGGATGCGCTTCCCGTGAAGCCGCGGACATACTGTCCAGAAATGCACCCTGTGCAGAAGAGGAATGGCTTTGCTCATTGTCGTAGACACAGGGCTTATGGAGCGAAAAATGTTCTAAGTTGTTCTTAAGAATTTAATGGTGTCTCAGACAAACGAGCCTCGTATGAGACGACCGCTAAATGTGAATTGAGGATATTCACAAATTTTATGGGGAGAGTGTAACGGGGTTACATGTACCCTTGTATGCAAGGGCGGGTCGCACAGGATGGTGTGATCGTGCATATGTGTGGCTTACAGAAGTTGGTGTAATTACACAGTGGTGTGGCTACACCTTAGCAAGAAGCCACTACGCGGCAGGATTGCCAGTAGCAATGCATATTAGTTAGGTTTTACTATATCAATTTGGTATAACTTTACTAATTAGGAAACCCTAGATTTTTAGAAATTGGCGGCTCTGCTGCAACTAATACAGTATCAATTTTGAAGAGAAGCGTTCATTTACCTTGGTTAAGGTTTTAAGTACTTGGGGGTAACGGATTGTGATCCGCTACACTAGTACTGGTTCTTGAAGAGAACGTAAGGTCGGTGACCTTAGCTTAGCTTCCTCAAAGCAAAGAGCTACGGCAGCCCCGCTGCATCAGAAGTGAGAACTGTTTTTGTAACGGGGTTACACGTATCCTGGTAACAGGGGTGTGTGTCAGACGAGATGTGCATGGTGTGACTGCACGTAAACAAAATACGGTATGTGGCTAGGTAGCCAGTAGTTTTGCATGTATTTAGACTTTACTATATATATTTAGTATATTTAGGAAAATTTAAAACTAGGATAAAAAAATAAATAAAAATCAGGTTGGATTTTAAGCCGAAGAGTCAATAAGCCTTGGATTAAGGCAATAATTAATCTTGGAGTAAGCGATTGCGATCCGCTAACTCGAACTTGTTCTAAGTATAGAACAAAAGGTCGGTGACCTAAATAACGCTTTCTCAAGCGCTAAGCTACGGCAGCCCATCTGCAGTTTTATGGGAAAACATATATCACATGTGTCGAAACGGAATTAATATTAACTAAAGGTATTTTCTGAAATAATAGTGTGAGCTGACAGTGTTAATTACCTCAAACGCACATAGTTATTTCCTAGTGGAAGGGCATATATCTTCGTGGGGCAAGATAAGATCCTCCATACGTTCGGTAGCTGTTACTGATTCCGGGGTAGAAGGAGCAACATTTAATCCTTTCCATGACACCTTGCACAGCGGAGACTCTTGAATCATAAATTCGACATTCAAAAAGGCATTGGATAACGAGTACTTAAAAGTGCCTACCTAGATTTTAGAATTATACGTAACTATCTGACCTCAAACCATTATATAGCCCAGCTTTTATCTCAAAATCATACCTAGTATGAGTACCACAGTTCTGGATTGGACCGTTAGCAACGTCAATATACCGCAATCATCACTGTAATTTTGATGGGTCAACTCTAAATGTCCGATTATAGTTAAGCAAATAAATTGGGTGTGGAAAACACAAGCTCTAAATCGGCATGCGGACATGTGAAGAGCTTTTTCCTGGGTTGTGAATGGCAACTATAAGAAGATGAAAGCAGAATGTGATATAGCGGCGATGAAATATTGGAGCTGCTAATCAAACAAAGTTTTTGATCAAAGAAAGTAATTGCGACAGAATAAATAATTGGAGTGTCGAACTTGCATTCATTATTCTTAAGAGCAAGGCGAAAGGCTCTGAATTTAGATATTCTGCTTCAAACATTCGCTGTTGTCCAATCTAATATAAAGACAGCAAATTGTATAAAAGACGATAAGTGCTCACATGTCTACACAATAAATTGAGCCGCATCACATGAAGCGATTAAGTTTAGGTGCCACGCTCATCACAAAAATTATCCGCAAATGCATATGAATCAAAATCACTCAATGGGGAGACACTTGGAGTGAAAGGCTTGTCCGTTAGCGTAGTCGCGGAAAGAAGGAGGCACGTATGCCCAATTTTCAGTCTCTCTGACCAGCAATTTCTTGCAGAAAGAACAAGGTGTCTGATAGATCTTGTCATAGTAGGCAAGCCAAGTAAAGAGATGGTAAAAACACGTCTCGGGATACTGTCTACGGAAATGGTCTAGTGCCTTACGTCCGTGAAGCGTGACAAGTCGGGAAAAGTTGTGAGAAGATTCTGACCAAGCGCCAAGTGGAGCATTTTCCTTGTACGAGAAGATCGATAGTCGCTGTATGTATTTTGTAACCTGCAGGCCAGCGGTTCGAGCTTGTTCTTGTTCCTTCATTGACTCCCGTGCATCTGTAATGCGCTGCTTAAGCTCCTCCATTTCCATTTTAGTAGCCTCTTCAGCGGCCAATTTGGCTTTTGTAAGCATATCCTCTTTTTTCTTCTTAACGAGTTGTTGCTGATGCTTCTTATGCTTACTGCGAGTACTACGCAAACGACCAATAGCAAAGGCCGGGGATGTTGGTGTAGATGGCGTCATGGGACTAGCAGCCACGCCCGTCTCGCCATTCGGTCCACTTTCAGGAACAGGAGGACAAAAGCTGAGATGCACTGTCAGCTCCTCATTAATTTCACACTTAATAGACTTGATGACTCGACGACCTCCGCGCGTGGTCTCAGATTGCTTAAAAAATTTCAGCTTCCGGTTTTTGGCCATAACATAGTCCATCATTTCATTGAGTGTTGCCGGCTGCTTTTCTCCGTATGGATCGAACACCCGACCACGCTTGTGAGACTTGGGCACGAAGAGACTATTTGGCATAGATGGACAGCGCACGTCACCTAACATTTCAAGACGAGGAAATGCACTACTCAGCTGTCCAAGATAGACAATCTGTGCCTTAAGAGCCATATCTTGAACCTGGTTCTTCCAATTGTATTCAAGCATGAGATTGCGGTGTGTCTGGCTTACGGTCTCAATGGGTTTTGTCTTGCCATCTAAGCGGCAGACATAAAAACAGTACAATAGTAAGCACTCGAAAAAACGTATTTATGAGCAGAATATCGAAAAACACGAACCAAATTCGGGCACGAGCTTGCGTAGCAGCTTTAAGTTAGTTTGCACACGCTCGAGCTTGTTTTTGATTGCTAAGCGCAAGGCGTCATCAGAGGTTTGTCCGTGCTCTAGCTTAGTTTTCGCCTCGCTTAGCTCCAAAATGATGCTTTCGGCCGTGTATCGCAACACGCCCACACGCCCCAACAAGATGTCAGCTAGGTAGAACGGGTCACTCATGATTAGAAATACGAAGGAATTGTAAAGGGGCAATAACAATGTTTTTAGATATCAAACAGTTTTTGTCCAATCAAAAAGCCCAGTTTAATCAATGCCAGCGAAATCGACGCGACGGTGTTAAAAACTCTGGCGTAATCGCAGCACCGCTACTTCAAATGTCATTATGGCTGCGACGCGAGCTTTGAACACTGCGTCAGAAAATTTGTCGTCGTTGCAGCTTTCTATCACTGAAACGATGCTACCACCAAATATTTCTTACATCAATTCACCATTCCCACCGGCACAAGTAAAGTCCTCCACACGTTTCGAGCAGGATCATTAAATTACGAAAGTTCAACCGCCTACAACGTCATCGCCAGTGTCCGAATCCCCGCGAATTATCTGTGAAAGTGTTGTGATGATGGAGTGCAGCCATCCAAATGTTCAGGAGATTCACATTAAATAACCTTCGAAGTCATTGTTAAACATTGGTGTCAGCATCCTTTGATTACAGCTTACTTCTTTTGGCTTCTCCAGCTACGCTTCTCAGCGCTCAATTATCTCCTCACCACCAATCAAAAGACCCCGAAGCTATCTGAAGCTACCTCGGATTAAAATTTCAAAAAAATACTGATATATTTGTCACTCAAATTCTGTCCCGGCGCAAGCGATCGTCGCACCATTTCAAGTTGATCATAGCCAACTTAGCATATGCAAACGATTGATGCCACGAAAAAAATTGGGGATCGATATGTGATCTATAGAAATTTGGCGATCCTCCGCGAGGGTCGATTCTGCGTGTGGGCTTGATCCTCCGATCATCTCCTCCGAGAAAAAAGGCAGCTGATTTTCCAAACAGCCACATTAAAGCCAATTTGTGACAATTAGATGGCTGCATCTAATTTTGATCTTTCCAAGCAGCGCGCTGTAATACCCAAACCATAATATTTGACGCAGTACAACAGTGCTTTTTGGCAATAGTCGTGATTAATTTAATTTGAGCAAAATGTAGTAAGAATGTTGAGCGTCTTGAACATATTTCCAACCTTACTCAATCATTCTATTTAAGTACTGAAATGTATTTTCATCGATGTGCAGTTAAAGCCAATTTTCAGTTTATAGGCAATCTCATCTAAGAGGATCAAATTTCGTCCAAAAAAACTTCCCGTCAAACACCTCTTCATCAGTTTCTCAAATCCATTCAGCGATACTGCTCGTCGTGCTTTATGCGCTTCCGGTAGATTTATAGTTGGAATTCTGAATCGTGCATATGATTGGTCTGATGTTTTTGATTCCACGTAACATAATCAATGAATTCTGCCGTCAAGAGTACCAAGAATGACGAGGCAGTTCAGCCCCTCCGGATCCGCGCTTGAACATTTAAAGACGATGGTTGGACACCTACAAGAAAGGTATCTAAGAACCTGATAGCCACTTATAGAACGAAATTTGGATCCTAAATTGCAGAGATAAAAGTTAGCTAGCCTAGAAGTTTCGGCATCGAAATTACCGCTGTGGTCACGCCTATTCCCTAACGTTAACATAGGGTTACGAAATCCGTTCCAAAATGTTTCCTGCTTTCTCCGGCTTGTTGCAGCGAGAAGATGCAGATTTTCTCACATGGTGGGCGACGATCAGCTCGTCTTCTCTTCACTTGATCGAATCATCTCCCCGAATAATCAGTGCTTTTGCCAGACCTCTAGGGAAGGACGGCTTTCTATGCTAGAGGATCGCTAGCAGAGTCCCTTTCGAAGCCTGCTCGTGGTGAAGAACAGCCCCAGCAGCAGCAACCGCCAGCAGCTTCATCTACTGCTGCAGCGAATGAAAGCTGGGCTTCATCTCATACGTTTGCGTGCTCGACTGATATGCTAGAGCCATCATGTTGTATAGCGTTTCTAAGCTTGCGTACGAGTGTAAGGTTTCTCAAACTGTGAATTGAATAGTGTATTGTCCTGTGACGGCATCTATATTTTTCTCAAACTTTGACGCTGAAGTGCCTACTCTATATAGCGGCTCAATTTTAGAGCTTAGGTTTACCATTAATTGTATCAAGCATATTTGTTTTACTGTATGTTATATTCAACTGCAAAAGCAGCCCAGGTATCCATCCCACTAGACCTCTCCTTTACTATTTCTTTTCCCTCATATGTGGCCTAGCTGAAATTCTAAGAAACAAAAGTCTGAATGTACACTTAGAGCAAACTATACACGATTAAAGATTACGCACATTGAAAACAGGTTGACAGTTATTTTAGCATACAGCGTGCTTTTGGCTAGATTGTATTGGCGGTGGCAAGCAACTCAATAAGTGTAAAGTACAAAAGCCCGAGCTCGTCGTTGAACACTGCCAGACAAGGCAACGCTATGAGCTTCATGCACTTCGACCACTTGACTATGAGAACATTACATCACGAAGTACTCCGCGTCGGAAACTTGACTATCTTTACTGACAGGGTAGGATAACAGCATACATTAATGAACAGGATCAGTGAAGTTATTATAACTTTCAGAGTGTAATGACGCAGCTCGACCGTCAAGGCAATTGAATATCGAAGACCACATGTCAGCCTACTGCAAGGTAACAAATAAGAAGAACCTTACAACAAAAAGCTCAATTTCTACTTAATGCGATTTATGTTTCATGAAGAGTCTAAGTACACGTACCGCATACTATCCAGCTCTGGGTTGACACTCAGTTTCAATGATCATGCGGCTGAACATGTCATGTGAGCATACGACTGGACCCGTCTCAAAAGCAACGAAGGATCGAAAGCACTGCCTAAGGTATAGACCATCCAGGCGTCTTAACTTTCGAAGTGTCGAATTTCGGTCCAAGTTCCGAATGAATCATGGCCATGGTGAGAGCTCAGGTTATAAGCATTTTTGCACCAAAGGCAAAAAAATGCGAAAATTCGAACAGCCACAAAATCATGCACCAACAGAAGTGACGCTGAGAAATATCAGCCACTAGTGAGGTTCAATCTGCGCTGCTAGGTGCACGCACCCAGATATTATGTTTGATGTGCACTGCGCAACTCGACGGGCACATGATAAAGTCTCTCTGATCGCATCGCTTGCTTGTCATGACATGATTCAAAAATCTGTCGCTGCGAATGCACACTATTGCACGTACAAGAATGAAGCGACCACATTAGAAGAATGAAGATGTCTTGGCAATCTGGATATGTGGCGCTATGAAAAGACGGAATATGTTGCTGCGGCGATTAAGTTTGAGAGCTGCTTTGATCAAATGTTCTTAAATGAGCCCATTATTTACATTACAGTGCTAATAAACAAGCTGGTTCAGTGCAGAGCGAGAGAAGCTCAGCTAAGTGAAGGATGTGTATGTTAAGCTCAAATTATATAAAATGTTTAGTAGGTGTTGTGGTGGTTATAGTGTGCGGGTAGCAGTGAAGCGCTCTCGGAGGACGCACTTCGCCATCGCAAATGAAAGGGTAAACATGTATATGAAAAGCCAGCGTACGTACAGGTCAAGAAGCCAGAATTCTATGGATCTTTGCTGAACCGTCGATTCAAGTGTAACAAGGAGGGATCTTGACTTGGTTTTTGTTAACGAGATTAATATTATCAAGAATTTGTGTTTTGACGTTGGGATCACGTGTAGACCATGTAGTGTCTATCTAGCATCGAGTTAAGAGTTTTTCCTCACTTGTACATCTAAAGTCTATCGCCTGAGTGTCAAGTCGCTCGAGCTGTCAAACTCGGCATGAACGTTGTACAGTAGTTTCCGTGCAACAAGCATGATTTGAAACTATCGCCAATGAGAATCCAAACAATAGAGAGTGGGAACTGGGATAAAAATATAATGCGTGGCTTGGTGCTCGATTCAAACGCACAAATGCAGCACTCCCTTCTTTATCGAGTTCTCAGTGCGAATGCGAGCAAAATCGCATTCTATAAGCTAGTTCAATCTGCCATGGTGGATCTCGGGCTTCTCCTTTAACTTTATCGCGGTCTGATGTTTTTATATTTTGATAATATAGCTAGTTTGATCCTTCAGGATCAAGAAATTCAAGAGTTAAACCCGCAGTCTGTTTGAACTACAGCTGCTTCTATACATTCTTAAAGCATATTATATATAACAGATGTTTCTGCAAAGAGAATCAATGCAGAACAAACATATTGAATCTTATCACTCGAACGTACCAAGAATAAAGAAACTATAAAACATGATTCAGCAAATGAAAACCTGCGCCAAAATTAATGTCTAACATAGTACATTTTATCACACGAACGCACAAAGAAGAGAGGAACTAAATGGTTATCAAATACTGCCAACCTTGGCGGGATAGAAACGATAATTGACATAAATGATGGTATGAATTCTTCGATTTCAAGAATTGCCTGTAAGATGTAATGATTCAAAACTGCGCTGGACCATAAACCTTTGGTATCGAATAATAAGCTGCAGTCGGGCTTTCAAAAACATGACGAAGGAAGAAGCATTTCCCGTGCAAACTGTAATATATACGATGATAGTTCATCTTGTTCTCTCTGCATTGATTTGCATTCATGTTAACAAAATAGGCGACAACAATACTGGTAGAAACACTCGTTCTGGTTTCGGGTGCTTCGATAGATACAATATGATTTACTGTATTGAACAAAGAAAGTCGGTACCCAAAAACAAAGATTCCTATCACGCAATGGTGAATCTCGATTCTACAGTATGAATCTAAGAGCTTTGTGTAATGGTGGATTTGCTCAATTTTTTCAAAAGACACCCCAGACAGCCTAATATTTCTATCATTTAAATGTGGCGTGGCTGTGATGACGTCTAACTTACACAGACACACTGGCGTGTCATAAGATCCACTATACCAATATTATTTTCTGCTCCACAATGACAGGCATTCATTAAACATAAATTATCAATAGCAACTACTGTATCATATTATGCAATATGTGTGACCGATCTCTGATCGCGATCATTATTCCACATATTTAAGGATATTGTGGTAAATACGACTAGGGTTGATAAATTTTTGATGGTATTAAACTGCTTTGATAACATGCGGATCTGGATCTATCCCATCGATTCGAAATGCTTTCCACGCCAACGCACTCGCTCTGCACTCGTGATTGAGAGTAAGCAAATGAAGATTCGCTGGCTCCCATAGATCAACTGGAAGGCTACGACTGGTCGATTCCCTCGACAAATAAGTATTCCCAAATTGACCGATTACGACACATTCGGAGACTTCCTGTGATATGGTCATCGAGAACAAATCTGCACCTGCTTCCCCTCAAGTGACCCCCGCGCACCTTGCCTATGGGTCAGAGGTCACAACTCGGGAGGTCCACAATACGGTGCTGAACATGGAGGCCCGCCTGCGAGTCCAACCGACTTATGTTCTATATACAAGTGCCATGCTCGCCTTTGTGCTGCCTCTTCAGTACGGTTGGTCCACCTCTCAACTCAATCTGCGCAAGTTCCACAATGTCGACGACTGTGCCGCTCGACCGGTTGTTGAGGGTACATGTATCATGTTCCCAGGCCACACCAAGTTTCAATGGACGATAGTTGTGAACGCGTGGATTGTTGGAGGCATGTTTGGTGCTTTTTTCGTCGGCAAGTTGTCAGATAGATTCGGTCGCAAGCAAGTTTTGATTTACAACTGTGGTATTATCATTGTAAGTGCTGTCATCATGGCCGTAGTATCGAACTTGTGGGCTTTTGCTGTCGGTCGTCTTCTTGCTGGTCTCGCCTCCGGTGCCACATCGGGCAACGTGGGGAGCTATATTAACGAGATTTCGCCACCCCACCTTCGTTCGCTCTTTGGGGGTGGATTACACAGTAGTAATACCGTTGGAATCTTGCTCGTCGCAACCACATTTTTCTACATGGACTTTGAAGACGGCTGGCGCTACATTGCTGCATTTCCAATTGTGCTAGCGATCATTTTCTTGCTTATGTCTCATTACTTCATGGTTGAGTCACCGGTGTGGCTGCTCATGAAAGGCCGTCGAAGTGATGCTGAAGCCGTTCTCACTCGATTATATGGAGCAAACAATGTGCCAGTGGCTTTGGATTGGATTGAGTCCAAACGAAAGGTTGATTTGGAATTACAGTCGAGTGTGTGGAGTGAGAATGGCAATGATGTTGTTCGTAGTGGTAAAGGTGCACCTTTCACGGAAATCATATCGCCTGCCCTGCGTCGCCAATTCATTATCGTCATTGGTATTGCTTGCATGCAGAAAATCACGGGAATCAACACGGTTTTTTACTACTCGTCGGACTTATTTACACAAGCTGGCTTGAAAAATGTTCTTGTCAACACCATCATCATTGATGTTGTAAACATGTTGCCATCGCTGGTGTCGGGATTTCTAGCCTCTCGTTTTGGCAACCGTTGTATGCTGTTGTGGGGTATAGTCGGTATGTTTTTTAGCGCCGTCGGTGTGACGCTATCACTGACGTTCAATTGGTCGACTCTAACGATTCTTTTTATCGCAACGTATGTCATTGCGTTCGGTGTAAGTCTTGGCCCGCTGATGTATGTACTTGTTGCCGACATCTTCCCCGACTACGCACGTGCTACAGTATCATCGATAGGTGTAATGGTTGCATGGTCGTCCAACTTAATTGTGGGTGTTGGCTATCCGTACATATCAAGCGCGTTGGGCAATTTGGCGTACCTTCCGTTTGTGGTTTTGCTGGTGCTATCATTCGCATTCGTATTTATTCTGGTCCCTGAAACCTCTGGCAAGACGAACGAGGAGATTCAGGACGAGTTCCGCGCCCTCCGCCAGAGAAAGCGCCATACTGCAACTGCTAATTAAATTCATAAATATGTATATATTTGCTATTAATGGAAATAACAATCCGTAGAGGTATAAAATTTTAGCTCAAATCCTTAGTACTTTGGAGTATCGTGCGTGCGATTTTGTAACCAAATCCTTATCGTGGACAAAATGCACATTGCATTTGGTATAACAGTGTTTGCCTTAGATGCTCTCGGTTCCCTCCTAATAGAAGCACACGAACCCATCATCTGTGCATTGTTACCGTGGACTCTGAAAGTCCTATTTCCTATGCATGAAAAAATGCACGGCAAACCCGTTGCACTTGGTAGCACTTGTAGTCAGTCATTCCCAAGACGGAGTCGTGAATTATATGTATTCGTTTTGAGAATAGAAATGGTTTTTACGAGTTCCTGTTCCTCGGACAAGTAGGTCAGCTTAGAATATGGCGGTCAAAGGGCCGGAGGCGGTAGTCGCTCACGTGGAAGCGCTCTCCAGCTTCGAGAATGCATTGGCAGGGCAAGACCAGCAGCGCTGAACACGGCGCCAAACTATAGAACAGATGGTGTCCACCGTGAGGCCGCCAATATTGAGCGTCCAGATAATATTCACCTCTCTGAATAATTAAAGTTGAATTGGCGGTAGATTTAGCCTCATTTCAGACGAAGTTACAGTTATCACGATTGCAATCCAAGCTAGGAGGTCGCGGGCGAAAAATACACTTTCGAGCAATAACTCGGTAAAAGAGGCGCTTCCAACACGGAACGATTTAAAGCGGCAGAAGACACGGAGCTCGACGTATCGAGTGCGTTTAAACTCTCGTGTACCCGTCAAGATAGGCTAAAACTGGCAGAATATGTCTAGGAGCTACGAAGCCCAGTCGCAACAATGGCGCCTGACATTCTTCCGATTGCCATCGCATTAAAAGCCCTTAAGCGGGCATGAGTACCCACCATGCCTCTTCGTAAGCGTTGAGCGTTGCAGTCAATGCGGAGGACAACATCTATGCCGCGAAGGTATGATGGGCGCTAGAAATGTAAGCTTCACAAGGGAGCCAGAGGCGATGGACCTCAGTCATACTGAAGAAGAAAAGGAGATGTCCTAGCTACTAAGCAGCTTCGGGATATAACAGATGTTTATCAACAGTCGCACAAGGCATCTGCACCTTGTAAGCCCCCCTCCGCATTTGTAAAGAAGTACGAAGGTTCGGGCTTCCACGCAAGAGAGGACAGAGAACCCCTCCATGAAAACGCGAAGACTTATGGGCGAAGAGCAGCCAGCTGGTTAAGTCCAAATCTCTGTTATATCTTGTGAAGATTGCGTTCAACAGGGCACAGCCCTATATGGAATTTTTTTCTCGGAGGTGGACCCCACGTTCAAGGATGTCGGTTATTAATATTAGTGTCTCGAAATTTGTGCACACATAGAAATTCCTGATGAATAACTTCATAGTGTAAAAAAATTCGACGCGCGACTGTCGATAACAGTGGACAATTTGCAGAGGCATTGAAGATGCCGCGATATCTGTGCGTCATACGACAGAGTTAGTGCTTAAAGTGCCAAAGGTTGGGCTGAACCTTCAATTGAAGTTGAAGAACCTTGAGAGCGTATAACAAGGGCTAGTTTCGGGCCTAACGTCTCCAAAATGTCGTGAGTCATGAAGTCGAAATAACGAGATTTCACGCACTTGTCTCCTGTAGAACATTAAGGAGTCATTAAACTTTAAGCACCTTCGGCACGAACCCGAAGCTTTCATAGATTTTACCTAATGTGTAATGGGGTGAGGATCCACCGAATAAAAAGCGAGAGAGATTTTCCACACGTGAAAGAAGTAACTGGATTAGCACATTGATCTTGTAGGCATTTTGTTCCCTTCTTTCGTCAGAAGCTCTTATACAGCTGAAAAACTTACCCTCGGAAATTTGTGCAAGAAATTGCAAGACGGTGAGATCACATAAAGGGCACGGTTAGTATCCAAGAGGAGTCAAGATCTTCATTTTTGAATGACGTGTAATTGAGAGCACTCGCACAGCACTGAGCGCGGGGAGCGGGCTATCATTCGTCCTACAGATCCTTTCTATTATGTGTTGAAGGCAAACATCGACGTGATGACGGGTAGTCCATCACTCGGATAAAATTGTGCGTCATTATTTTGAACTCATTCCCGAAAACAAATATTGCGTCACACGGCAGCGGTCTAAACCAAAGGAACAATGTGACGGTATTGACGATTTTTTCATGCGAAGTACGAAGTAGGTTTATTTGGAGTGTGTATTTCTCCACTCGGCAGAATGGTTGAATCACGGTAACTGGCAAATTGTGCATGCTTGAAGAAATTTCAATGCAGCAATGATTTTGGCGAACTCTGATATTTTGGATGAATGTACTGCGGAACAGCATGCTCGGCTGCACATTGTCGGGACATCGATCTAGATAATGGTTGTTATCAACCGCTGATCCGAGAAAGCAAACTCTTGTAGCTGCAGCCAGGATTCCGAGCGGGGTACTCTAGGTGCGGCTAAATATACTACAGGGACAGTCAAAAGCACCAGCGACAGTCAATCGTCTCGTGCAGCAGCTGTACAAGCCCTAATCTTGCCATGCACCAACTCATTTCGACAATGTATTTGTCCTTGATCGGGCGGAGCAGGAAGAGTAGACTTTACCTGATACCTACGATCATTGTTCGCGTTTATGCACATTAAGAAGTTATATGTTAAAAAAGACAACTGCGTATTTTGTGCCGACTATATTAATTCAGGGTTGCTTCGTTGCAGAACCTTAGGATGATATCGCAAAAGCGGCCATTGCAGGTTGACCAGTGCCTCTATTCGATAAGAGTTCAAGAAGTTGCTTGCCCGTTGAGCTTTTTGAGAGATACACACTGTAAGCGTGCTGACATGGCATTATTCCCTGACCAATGTCGTCAAAAAGATGCTGAATAGCGTTGGGCATTCCATAAGAAGGCGTCCTTTAAGGCTGTGACAGAAAGCCACTACGTGTCCTGATATAAGTTGCTCCGAATCCAATTTGACCATTTCACGCCGTTTATGACGCATAAGCCTATTCAATAGGCTGCGTCTTCTCCTACCAGATATCAATGGCTATGGATGCGTGATCAAAAAATTGAGTCTCGCTCGCCGTTTCAAAGCTGCTGAGTTACGCTACACATTTCGTGACAGGCAGCTGTTTGCAAAAAAGTAATCCATCGTCAGATTTTAGTGAACTTGCTTGGCTCTATTCATAATCTTTACCGATCATACGTCGTAAAATTATTCACTAAAGAGACAATTTTACCCAGTAATGCTGA